GCCCCGGCATCCTTGCGGACCGAGGTGTGTGCGGCGCGCGGGCTCCTGGGTGTGCGGGCGCAGACGTCCCCGGCGCCGGAGCAGGCAGTGGGCGATGCTGAAGTCGCTGCGGCTTTGGTTTGCATATGTAAATGTTTCCCTGGGATTCGCAAGCCCCACCGCGGAGACTGGGAAACACTGGCGGGTTCACGACGCCTCCTCCCCAGTCTCCTGTGTTCTCTTGAGCCTCCCTATGCCCTGTACCTTGCTTCCGCTGATCATCCTTCTTATTTCCTCCCTCGCATCCTTCTTGCTGCGTTCTGATGACCTCTGAGTAATGTTGCCCGTCTTTCCCTCGTTTCCACTGTTCCCAGTGGCAGCCTTACCTAGTTGCTGAGCTGCCGGAAACCTGTTTCTGTGTTCTTTCGAGTGTAGATTCCTCCAAATGAGAAGGCAGTTGTCTTCAATATGGTATACCACCACTAGGCCTCAGTCTAGTCTTGTAAACTAAGTGTGCAGTTATAATTCATTTTTTTTAAACTGGGGGCCTCATGGGGCTTTGATTTTCTTTAGTGCCCCCTCAGTCCCTTTTCAAACCAGGACGTTCACCACCATAATCCTGCAAGCATCAAATGGAAGGGTTTTTAAAATCTGAGGAATATTTACTTGTATCAGCCTGCAGATGAGTTTTTTGTAAACCAATGCTGCTGTTGGATGGGTCTGAGCCGCATGTGGGTTGTGCCTCTGTGTCACCATTGTATATTCACCAAAGGCTTGGTTTTATTTCTTTTCCACTTATATTTCCTTTCGCTAATTTTTGTTTGCAATTACATTAACACCTGTTGTCACTGACATATATTATAGATCTCTTGGAGGAAATTAATGTTGTCCTGTTGATTGTTAAATAGAGTACAAGAAATAATTTTGGGATTTCTGTTCTTTAAACATTATGAAGATGAAGCGCAGTTGTAGGTGAGTCTGTACTGATCAGTTCTCCTTTTAATTCCATTCCTCTGAAAAGAGGCCTTTTGTACTTCAGTGCGAGTGGGCCTTTATTTGGATGGAAACTTGTAGGAAACACTGGGGGAGGCAGATGCTTGAATTTCCTCAAGTGGCAGGGAGCATTCATAAGACAAGTCCAGACATGTTTGGCAGTTGGTAGTGTTTGATTGTCTGTTTATAGTGCTAATTTCCTTTATTCAGATGTTTTCACATCCTCCTCTACCTTTCCTCTTATGAATTAGCACTGTGTTTGTGGCAGTTTAGCCTTAGAAGGACTCTGCCGCCGTACAGACAGCCTCCAACATCATCAGTTGTAATTGGGTAAAGTTTTACAAAGCTGGTCTTTGTCTCTTTGCTTTCCTTTTTTAAACTGTTCATATCCATCTTTGCTTTCTGGATATCATTGCTTGATTTAATTTGAGAGAAATAATATCATTATAGAGGACGTTGCTTTTCAAGTGTTATGAATTTGCATTGCTTTTCTTTATGTTCCTAAAAATAATGGACAGCAAACTTCTGCTTGGGCCAAATAATCGTTTTTCTGAATTTGATTAAGGAAAAATATTTTAAAATTCTATGGCTAATTTTTATGCATTTTTGTCCTTAACTCCACTATTTCTCAATCATAATAATTTCCTCTCCAGCCCTCAATCTGAGAATTTAGCATAGAAGTTAACTTGCTTGCAATTTCTTGCTACTATGTACTTAAGCAAAGTTAAAATAAACTTTTAACTTTTCAAAACTTGATTCATTTTAGTAAATCTGTTGTCATAATGTATACATTTTCACCGCAGATGGAAAATCACAGCAGCTGAAAATAGGCATATTCTATTGACCAAGAAAAACATTTAATAATATTGAGTGAAGGGAATTGTAGATTTTGTAATAAGGATCCTAATTTGGGTTAATTAGAACCCTGGGAACTCAGGGTGTACTGTAGTTCATTTTGAGAAATTCAGAATTAGAAGTGCCATCTGGGTGGGAGGCAAGAGCAAATGTGAAGATTAAAGATGGGGTAGAACATACCGAGTCTTTCAGAGTAAAATAGAGTAACAACTATCAGTTACTTAATAGGAAACGGGAAGGAAACAACTAAAGACTGAGGAATTAGAATTATAATAGGGCTAGGGGAGTATGGTTCATTATCACTCCTCATCTGCCAACCAAAGGTACCTTATTTTGTGCAGGTAGTTTGCCTCTTGAGGGAAAGAAATATTTTGATTTTACAAAGGACTCGAGAATATAGTCTAAGCCATATGAGGTCGGATCATAAACTCAGGGGCCTCCAGGGAGCAGCCTGAGTGGGCACCGAGGTACCAGAGAGAGGCAGGCGTGGTAGAGAGGACAGTATCCCTGAACACTAACCAGTTGTCCCCTGTGGAGGACTGTAGGAGGGCTCTAGCCAGGTCCTCCTCTCATTAGGAGATGCTGTGATGGACAGTCTCTTGATAGATGTAGATATTTTGGTACTGGGAATTGAACCCGAATCTTGTGCTTGTCAGGCAGGCAGTATGGCACTGAGCTATATCTCTGGCTCAATCTCTTGATTTTTAAACATTGACAATAAATTCAGTTTTCTAAATGAAAGTATAACAAAACACTGCCTTTCACACAGTTCATCTGTAGCTGTGTGTGGCCCACATGATGTCTGTTTTAACCTCTGCTGTAAGAAATCACTGGCTCAATTACTTAGATATTGCTTATTGATCAAAAGGACTATTTTTTATTTATTTCTGTCACATTTTATTTCTAGGTTATTCCTAGAGTTCCTTGAGATTTTGGCTGGTTGTAGAAGTACAAAGATTGTACATACATATATCTGACATGTGGATAGAAAAGAAGTATTTGCTAAGATTTTTAGCTGGTAGGGTTTTCTTTTTTGGTCTATGCATAATTATTATCAGGAGTGTTTAAGGATGCCTGAGGGAAGGGGTCTAGACTAGGTGACCTTTGATGTGCATTTCAGCCACATGACTTTTAGATTAAATTAGCTAAGCACGTAATGCTATTAATGTTCATAGGCCAGAGGGATGGCAGTTGGAGCTGTGCCAAGTGACATACAGTCAAATCTGTAAAGCCATTCCCAATGGAAGAACATTGTACCAAAGTGAATTAATAGGCAGGGGGCATCTGCTAGGTGAGGCTAAAGGAAAAAGCCCCCAAGACAGGTTGGAGAAGCAGATGCAAGAGTCAGATGGTAGCATTCTTTATTTACGTGTCATATTGTCGAGCTCTCATTTCTAAGCTGTTCTTTCCTCCCTGTGGATTCAGGTGTGAAGACTCGCCTTCTCCTTGCGCACTGGATTATGCACAAGGCTTTCCTACCCAATGATCCTCTTGCAACACGCTGGGCTTCCTCCACCTAAGCAGCCTTCATACTCTCCTCCTATGTCAGTGGCCACCAGGTCTACAGGCACCTCGCAGCTTCTGCAGCAGAAGCCTTTTGGCCAGGAGGCTCCCTTGCCTCTGGCAGGGGAAGAAGAGTTACCTAAGGCTGGGGAGCAAGACACTGCCCTGGAGGAGCTATGTAAGCCCCTGTACTGCAAACTCTGTAATGTCACCTTGAACTCGGCGCAGCAAGCCCAGGCTCACTATCAGGTAAGGAAAGAAGATCAGGTGTACTATATTTGGTGGGGTGAACATTCTGTGCTATGCCTGTTTAGAGGTTGTTTCTCTCGGTGTGATCAGTTGTGCTTGGAGAATCAAAACGCAGTGAAAAACAGCTAGATATTACTTTACTTAACTTTTTTTTTTTTTTTTTTTTTTTTTTTTGCGGAACCAGGGATTGAACTCAGGCCCTTGAGCTTGCCAGGGAAGCACTTATTCCACTGAGCCATCTCTCTGGCCCCCAGTTTGTTTAACTAAAAGCGTAATGTTCCTCCTTTAAGGATCATGTTTTGTGTTGTGATCCTTAACTTCCTACATTAAGCTGTGTGGTACTGGATAGCTTACCAGTCTCTGTGAGCAGCTGTAAGCCTCTGTGCTGGCATTTGAACCTGTGATCTTAAGGAGAATAGGTTTATGTAAAACATAGTGTACCAAACACAAGTCAGTGTAAAATTATTTAGAAGTCAATGCAGTTGCGTCAGTTCATGATAATCTCTGTGCTCGCATCCTATGATTTCCATTTTGACTTCTAATTACCCCTGCATGTTCTATCTTGGCTGAGGAAAACGTGCATTTTTTCCTAAGAAAGAATAAAGTGTCACCTGATTATTGAGTCCTGTCGTTTCTTGATAATAAGCAGACTGATTTTTTTTTTCCCACCTGTTACTATGTCAGGATGCCTTATTTTTAAGATAGAATGCTTTTAACTGTATGTAGAACAGCTAGGAGAAAGGACTACTTTAAAAGGCATTCTTAGGTAAAAACAAATGAGAAATTAAACTTTGACTAGAAAATTTGTTCTTTCTAGGTTGTTATTTGTATAAAATTACATAATGCCCTCCTTTTGGGTGCTGGGGAGATGGATCAGCAGAATAAGCGCTTGCCTGGCAAGCTCAAGGGCCTGAGTTCAATCCTTGGTTCCACCAAAAACACAAACAACAACAACAAAAAAACCCAAACAAACCATAATTTCCTTTTTTTTTTTTAAGAAGAGACTTAGGCACAAATGGAGGCCCAGTGCCCTGAATGAAGCCATAGTATCTGGACCATCATTGGTTTGACTATTTATTACCCCCTTGGGTATTCAGCATGAGAGAAAGCCAGCTGTTAGTTACAAAGATATTTCTTCTCTTGTGCTGCTCTGCTTCCAACTTGTTTTTGTTTACTCTGCATGTAGCTGTTTTCAGTTTCACTTTGTTTTGATTCCAAAGACTTATAGCCGTGTCATTTTGTGATTGCATATCAGAGGTTTGTTTTGCTTTTTTATGGAGCTGGGAATTGAACCCAGGGCCTTGCGCCTGCAGATGCTTTAGCTTTGAGCTATATCCTGGGCTGTATCAGAAGTAATTTGTTGCTGAGTTAGTTCTTTGTGACTTAGGGGAAGATTTGATATGTTGCTTCCCTGGTGATCCTATTGTTTGGGTTTGTTTTGCCTCAGGTAGGGAGAATTGTGTTAGTTATATCTCTCAGATCTTGGCATATGTTATCAGATTTTTTTTTTTTTTCTTATATTTGGTATAGGGTCTCATCACGAGCTCAGACTCATAGTGATCCTCCTGTTTTCAGTCTCCCCAGCACTGGAATTACAGGTGTGCACCACTGCGCCAGGTCTTGGTGGCCGGCTCAGTGCGCCCTGGGGCGGGGCCAGTGTGGCATATGGTGCCGGGAATAATACCCCAGCCTAAGCAGACACGTAGTTCACTGAGCTATCTCGCTGGTCCATTATTAGTTCTTAAAGACCTCTTTCTCTTTATTTTTGTTGTTACTGTGCTGGAGATTGAACCCAGGGCCTTTGTATCAGTGATAGCCTCACCCCTTTTAAATTATTATATTTGAAGCTGGGAAGGAGCTGGTGACCCTCTTGCTCAGCTTTCCAGAGTGCTGGGATGGGATGGTAGGTATGTAGTGCTACGCTGGTCTCTTCTTGTTTTATTTTACATTTTCCTTTCATCCCTTTTCATACCACTCCCCACTATAATACAGTAGGTTGGTACAGTACCTTCTTTGTTCATCTTTACTATTCAAGTGGCATCTTATAGGATAATTAATCTCAGACCTAGGATCTGGTAGCTTCCCCTTCATTTATTCTTGTGGGACCTTCGCTTTAATAGCCCAAGACTTACTTTGAAAAAATGAGGCCTGAATTCTAAAGTTTTGGTCTTGGATTATCTAAAGCCCTGAATAAATAACTAACAGAGAAAACACACTTTGTGCTATATATTCCTTCATACATAAATCATATACATTTACCTTTTGAGGAAGAGATTTTACTTTGGGGTGTGCCAAATGTAAATTTCTGCTTGTAGACAATGATGGGTGCTTTGGTTTATGCATAGAGAATTCAGAGATTGTTGGGTTATAAAGTGGAGATAAGAAACAGAATCAGTTTTTTTTTTCTTTTTTTTGTATATATTTGTGTGTTTGTTCTAAAGTTTTTAGTTGACATAATTTGTCATTATTTCATTTCCCTCCATGATGCAGTGGATAAATAGGAAAGAAACTGACGTGGAAAGAGAAACAAAATTTAGAAAAATTTTCATTTTTTAGAAAAATTCTTAAAAATCAAAAAATTTTAATGGAACAGTTAGAGGAAAAGATGGGCTGTCATAGGAAGTATGAAAGCAGCCAAACATTAGGATGAAAACAGGAAAGATGAGACAAGTGGGTATTGAGAAAGTAGAACCTGATTAAAAACTCATGGCTTAAGGGCCAGCCAGATAGCTCAGTGGACTAAAGCACCTGCTTAGGCAGAGTGCAGGGACCAGGGTTCAATTCCAAGCGTGCCTTGCTGGCCTCGCCCCTGGCATGTGCTACACCATTGGTTGAGACTGGATGACACACAAATGTGTAATCCTAGCACATGGGAGGCTGAAAATAGGAGGATTACTATGAGTCCGATCTGTGTAGTGAGACCTTGTAGACTCTGTACTACATACATTCAAAACAAAACAAAACAACAACAAATAAATGATGGTTTGAGAAAAACAGAACATTTCTAGAACTTAGAAACCAAGATTTGAATGAGACCAAGAGTCCTAGTAATCTTTTTTTTTTTTTTTTTTTCGGAACTGGGGATTGAACTCAGGCCCTTGCCCTTGCCCTTGCCCTTGCCAGGGAAGTGCTTATTCCACTGAGCCATCTCCCCGGCCAGTCCTAGTAATCTTAAAACTGTCTTGTTTTCACAGACAACCTGAGACAGTGTAGTTTATATATTAAAATATAAGGCGATTTCATTGGAATAACATAGAAGAAATTTAACCTTAAAAATGAAGTCTGCAAGCTCAAGGGCCTGAGTTCAATCCCTGGTTCTGCTAAAAAAAAAAAAGAAATGAAGTCTGGATTTTAATAAGCTAGAAATGGTGAAGATGAGGGAGTTGTAGATCCAACAGTAGGTTAGAATAGTAATAGTTGGAACGTGACCATAACCAAGAGGTGGGTGGAACACATGGGAAAGAATAGAGATGTGACCCTCATGGCTAACACTGACAGAGGATCTGCAAACTGCGGTACAGGGTTTCAGGATAAATCCTGAGGGGATTTGACTGACTTTGTCAGATACAAAAGTTACATTTTTTGTTACATAGGTCTTGCTTTATGTTGGTCTTAACCATCCCGCAGAAAAGTGTAAAAGTGAGGTATAAAAAGTAAAGCCATATTAATACAATGAGCTGTAAAACGCTCAAGTCAACAACTTCTGACATTGCCAGTCTTACGCGAAAACCCACTGCTATTATGGACTACTGGCCTATATTGGAATAAACAAAAAAAGAGGATACAAATGAACGACCATTTTGTATCTGAATATTCAAAATAGGACATACAGCTGCATTCTCTTAATTCAATGAATAGAAAGATTTGTTCTACTAGTGGTTGTAAACAGGATATCATGTCTGCGTCTTGTACAATGAATAACCCCTAAGACAACAAACGCAATATATTAATTATTGAAACTGCCCTACTAAACGGATTTGAAACTGTCTCATTGCTATTTGTTTCTCAATAAAATGATTGAAGAAAAGATCACACACACAAAAAAGAATAGAGATGTAGCCTGGAGACGAGTTAAAGTGTTCAGAAATAGGCAGCGATAAAAAATGGGCCTTAGGTACAAAGCAAGATAGGAGAGTAAGACCAAGCACCAGGAATAGGCAGAATGGCAGTGATAGTTACTGTTGTACTAGTGAAAACCAGGGGTAGGCCTCGGGATATGGCTCAGAGATAGAGGATTTCCCTAGCATGTGCAAGGCCCTGAGTTTGATCCTCAGTACCAAAAACCAAGTGGTTCAAGATGAAATAAAATAATGGCTGTAAAGTTTTATTTCAAGGTGAACACCCTGCTTTATAATTTTTAATACAGTGTGATACCTAGACAATAAATCAATTACTTTAATTAGGTGCAAGATAAAAGTGGCCACTGGGAAGCTGTTTAGAAGCTCAAACCACCTTTATGCAGAGTGGTGAATTGCGGCGATTATATTACCCACAACTTTTTAGTTGGTTCGTGCCATTGTTGAAATCACCAAGTTTCAGGTTGCTGGGGTGTTGTAAACAACCATCCTTACACTACAGTCCAGCTCTATCATTTTTGTAATCTAGGACACACAGTGGAAACTGTTCAATAAATTCCTCCCTTTGAGCTCACTGCCATTTTCCTCTGGTGACCCCATGTTCCTAAGCTGGAGCTGCCATCTCAGTGACTCAGGTGTTTCTGTGGTCATTACGGATAGTTTTATTAGCAGGGCGTTTTAACTTAATCACTCAGCTTCAAAACACTGTCAGCAGTTGTTTTATTTTTAATGAAATTATCCAATTTTGCAGTCTCAAAATTATGACTTTGGTTATAACTTAATTTAAAATCAGATTTTTTGGGGAGAAACATGTCTTCATTCTATTAAAATCTGTCTGCATATTTCAGGTTACTTAGGGCAGTCTCGCCACGGAGTAATGTAATGCTGATCCACCAACATAAATGCCTAGAGAAGAACTGCTTT